GTATTTTCCAGCTCCACAAAGTGTTCACATACCAAATGGATTCTTAATTAGCTTCTCTAGATTGCCCTTTCATGTTCATATGATCTCTACTATCCATAGCTATTCCATTTAATACTTTCCCACCTTCAAATGAGTGAGCATTGTTCTTTATGAGTGTGTTTTTGGCAGCCCTACACAATAACCCTTCCACTCACCACATTTTTCATGCTCAACAATTGCCAATTTTGGCAGTAACGAGCGAAAATGACGTAAAGGAAATGTTTTGGAACAAAAATGTGGTTTCTGCCGTGAAATTCTAGATATTGTTTAAATTGGCTCGGCGGACTCGACTTAAGAGCCAAAATAATGATAAAAGCAAAATGTGAAGTGCGACTTACTTTTGCTTTATTTGTTGTTGTTGCTGTTGTTGTTGTTGCTCTTTGGCCACGCTCCATGCTCCACGCTTTGCCGGTAATTTTTAATTTGATGATTAATCGATAAGCGGACGGCCTGACTGCGATCTTCGCTGGTCATTGTACCAGGCCCCCAAAAACTCCAACTCGAAGAAAAAAAAAAATGAAAAAAATGAAATAAAATAAAACCAAGACGAAACGAAACGAAACTTGGTGATTGCATGTGATTAGAATTTTTAATAAGCTGAGTCGAGCTTGCGCTCGAGCTGGAGTGTCTTTCTTTCTTTCTGACCAAGTGCTGGTGCTGGTGCTGCTGCCCACTCAGTATTCTCAGCATGCCCGATATTGGGTGCCTCAGATAAAGATCGCAATGATCATGATGATGATGATCACTTGAAAGTTGAAACTGAATTTGAAGCGTTTAAGATCAGTTACACAAACACAAATGCTTGGCAATTAGCTCTGACCTAGCTGGGCTCTTGGAATTTTCCACCCACTCCAATGGCTTATTGAAAACTGAAAGTACATTAAGCTAAAAACCATTTAGGAAATACGATTATATACTACATACGTATGTATGTTTGTATGTATGTATATGTGGTTGCTCACTTTCACTTTGTTTGTTTAGAATGATGAACAATTTGGGCAGCCAAGCATAAACATTGCATAATAGCGGCAAGCCACGATTAAGCATTACACGGCGAGTCGTCCATCTAAGCACGACCTTTTGATAATTAAAAATAGAAGAAAACCCACTTTCTTCCTCTCTCTCTCTCATGAATTTCTTGGCCAAACTTTCACACACAAGACGCAGCCGAACAGGGAGATAGAACACTTTCCTCATCCGAAATGTTTTTATAATGTGGCCAAATGGAACTTGCATTTCCATTTCAAATTGTCATTTATCATTAGTGCTGCGTAGTTTTCTGTTTTCTTTTTTTTTTCGTTTTTCGGTTTTGGACATCTTCGGGTGTGAGTTATGTTTATCATTATTTGATTCGTGTGATTGACAACCCAGCCCAATACTAATAGAAACCAAATGTCTTTTTCTGTCTCAACATCAACATCAACCACATCGTCATCCCCCATGCCGAAAAAGCTTTGCAACATCTCCCACTTTTGGCATAAGAATGAGTAATGAATAATGAATAATGAACGGATCTTGCATATTTACGCATGTAAAACATGTGTTAAGTATTTTGCTTATTCTAATTCAAACGACGCACTCTGTACAATGCAAAACAGCTGGCCATTAAATTTGATATTAGCGAGCAGGGAAGTGCAAAATTATTTCAAATCCCATTGCCTTGGATGCCATTTCGATTTAGTCATGTCTGCGGGGCTTGTCGTGCATCTTCCGTTTTATAGCACCCATAACTGGGAGCTTTTATATACGAGTAGAGAGATTTCTATGATAATTGGAGAAACTAAGACGCATTATTAGCAGACATTTATTATAATATTAAGTTAGCTTTTAACTTAATGTTCTCTCTTTTCAACAAATACAACTGATATACTTGTATATTGTATATAATACAAATAGTTTCTAAAACAGTACCAGGGAAAACATCAGGATTTTCGTTGAACTATTCATTATTATTATGATGACCCTGTTTAAAAAGGTGTCCTCTTCTTAGTTGAGCTCTTTAACCAAGACTCCTAAAAAGCAGGAGATCAGCATTACTATCCCGTATATACTTGTATATATATTTAAACTTATAGAAAAGTTTATAATTGTATACGATTAGTATTAAATGAAGCGAAGAAGAATTATAAATACTTGGCTTTTCGGGTAAATGCAATTAAATCGAGATCACGGTTATAAAAACTACTATAATTTATCACAATATCTATGATGGCTATGATTTAAAACGTATCATATAAATAATACAATCAATTTTCGATCGCCTATCTTCCTCTAAATTTCCTTTCCTGCGAATACGATATTTAAAACGTTTATTACAAAATATAATCACTTTTGTATAGAGTTATATTGGCGTCCAAACTTTTGATGACCCTTTTTGTCTATGTAACTGATGAGTGATCATTAAAATTAAATATTATTGTTCTGCCTTATATTTCTGGATCATGACTAAAGTATGAAGTTATGTTGCATTTGGAACATGTCAAATGAATACTTGACAAAGCTCTGATAACAGTTTATGATGTCAATTGTCGTTAATTTTTCGGGTGCATACAACTAATGGGTAATCATGGTCATTAAAATTATCTTGTTCTCTGTAACATGCCTTTTGGTATCGCCTATTATCGTCGGTCAGATCTGTAATAAATAGATAATAACTCACTAATCAACGAGCACAGTGATCTTCAAAGGCTCATGTCCATCATGGAATGCTGTGTAAAATTAAGTTCTAGTACCAGAATTGTGCACATTGTGTAATTCTGTGAATATTGTCATTAAAATTCAAGAAAACTGAGGCAATTAAAAATAATAATATTGTTACATCAGTGCCACATGTGCGAGTGCGCAAAAAACTTAAATACATTAAGGTCGTAAATTAATTTAAATATGCCCAAGCTAAGTGAGACACATGCAAATATTGTAGATTGCTGGGCACATCCCATTCATATATGTACATAGTATATAGTCGTATATATTCCATTCAAGTATTTCTCAAGAATAGACCATAAATAACACTTTGAAGAGCCGCCAATGACAAGTCATGAACACAATTGACGCAAGCTTTGTGAGTGAGTGACAAGGTACAAAGTGCGAATGAAAAGGCATCATAAAGATATAGGGTCATACAACTATAGATCACTTTTAGAGAGGACTGATATTAAAAAGGAACCAGTAAAAGGTTTTTAGAATAGACCTAGAGAATATTTTCAATTAAATTTTTAAGTTATTTTCGGCTATTTAAAACCACTAAGGAACTCTAGTAAATATAGCTCGCAACGTTCCGTCTCTGCGATTGGATCAAAGATTTCAAATTTTTGAAACACATCTGTCATCATTGTAAGAAATTTTGTGTATCCCTGCATCCGTGATTCTGATTGATATCAGAAAACTTGTAATTGCTTTAAAATGTTGCCAACCAGGTGTGGCAAAAGTTACCAAATCTTATGATTATGTTCCAACACTGCCTTTATCAAGGGTCTTCAACCTGTAATCTCTATCTTCATCTCTTGCTCATGCTCTGTAATTTTTCATCAGGCAAATTACAAAAATGTAAGTCAAAGATTTTGTTCGCTTATCAGAAATTTGTCATCGGCTTGTAATACGATCACACACACACACACAAACACATCTATGTAGACACACATATGAAGAACAGCTCGTCTTGTGGGCCTGCTGCTGCAACTCCTGATAATCACTATAGATACAGTACATGTAGTGGCGAAAACACCAGCACTTGGTGTAAGCACTCTACACTAATATTTTGAGATTTTTATTGACTGCAAAAGTAATTTCGTTGAATTTCGAAGGCAAATTGTACTTTTTTCCTTTTATCTTTGTTTAAGATATGTTCTTAATGAAACAATTTTAAATTTTAAGATGAATCACTTTAAAAGATACCTATAGTATTTAAAAAATTGGGGAATAAAACCATATGCATTATTTCATTATGCAAAGTTAGCTTTTACGAAGAGGTATGTCTAGAATCCTCAATGTTTTCAATGGGAAGCGCTGCTTTCTCCACGTTAAAATGGCTGGCTGTACCCCATACTTTGATGCCATAGGTCCATCCGGCCTTACGATTAGCTCTGCAGCATATATAAATTTGTAAGCTTGATGTTTAATTTATTTACTTTATTGAAAAAATGATCAACAATAAAAATGAAGTACCTAAATATATGTTGTCCCAACTGACTGTTTAATTATAGCAATATAAATTAACAGAATTAATTATTTCGACTCAAAGTAATATGAATTAACAGAATTATTCGACTCAAAATAGGTTGCAGAAATTCTAAAACTAGAATATAATCGCTTCTAACTGGTAGTTATAGCTATAGGAATTTAATTAATGCGACATAATTTCGATGGCAATAAATGGATTTGATAAATTTTAATGTAGAAATTGAAAGCCCAACACTTAAATGTATGTATAATTAACTTGCCTTAGAATACAACTTGTTTTATTGTTGAGTAGTAGTCGCATTTGTATTTCGCCACTAAATGAATATCAGAAGTTGTGCGAGTTGCAGCCTAACTTTCGTCGCTGAGTTTCTTACCTCGCCGAAAATGTTTGTTTTTTTTTTATTGATAATCAAGACAATTAAAAACCAAAACATAAAGAATCGCAAGCGCCGCGACAGCACAGCATAGCCGGAGCCGAAGCCGAAGCAGAAGTCGAAGCCGATGCTGATGCCGAGCAGAGGCGAACAGCTGGCTGTCAAACGACTTTGAGCGGCAGTTGCCGAGTGCCGATCGTCTTAACTCGATCGCTGGTAGTGGCAGTGGCTGGCGTACGGAGCGCGCCAACTTCTTCAAGTCAGTTGAATTTCGACGCTCGACGCGGCCACAACGTGAACGGCTCTCTAGAAAATTAAAAAAGCGCCCGGCAGCGTGGGAGGAAATGCGCGCGCTTCAAGCTTTTAAACTTGACTTTGACTCTCTCGATCGGTTTTCAATTGCTTTGCCATCCGTTTGACTTCAACTGTGAGTGTGTGATTGTGTTTGTGTTTGGGTGTGCATGTGCATGTGACTGTATGTGTATGTGTTTGTGTGTTTGTTTGTGCAGTTTAGTGACCGTGAAGTTCTTTTTGCATAAATAACAGTGCTTTTGACTGCAAGTTCATTCACGTTTCCATAAATTCGTGTAATACGTTTAACGAGCACTTAAAACGTGAACGTATATGTGTTATTTACAAAGATACTACAAAGATTACTACAAATTTATGTGCATTGCAAAAATCGAAATCGGCCATTAAATTAATTGCAACATTTCGGCCATTTCCGTTTTCTGTAGTTAGGCGTGCATTTGAGCGTAAAATTAATTGCCACATTTTCATAATTTGTAAGCAGAAATGTTGCGAATACATTTAATGTTTGTTGCAATGCAAATTGTTTTTTAAAACTTCCATTTCTTCCATTTCTGCTTGCTACCACTATTATTATAATTGCTATTTGGGCAAGACAAGAAATATGTTTGTATGTATGTGTAGTAAATGATAAAAAAAGAAGAAGCAGAAAGAAACAAACAAACACACACACACACAAACACAATCTACTGTAGAAAAAGTGAAATTTCTTCGCAGACTTTAATAACAGAAATGTTTTTAGCCCCCACGCGGCGCCTTTTGTTTAAAAATAATTACAATACATAATAATTATGTTAATTTTGTGCACAAAATAACTTTGCAGTGAAATGCGTTAGTTGGCGTCCAAATCGATTACCGTTAAACGTGCAACAAAACCCGCTTGGGAATCATATTCGGCCGATTACGCAAAAGAAAATCCCTCTGCTGTGCTGTAAACAAAACTGTTTAAATATTTTGCCAAAAACAAAACATGGCTGTGACGTTTTTGCATAAACGAAAGTGTCCGTAACGCAACAACATTTAGAAAGGCAAGTAATATGTGGAACGATCAAAAGATAGCCGTTAAAACTGTGCCATAGATCTCTATCGCTGATACCTGCATAGCTGATAGCGAAGTCAAAAGAAGTAGCGTTATTTCATGGCTATTAACATTTACACTTTCAAATGTAGAACCGACCAAGCCCTCAAAGCAACAATAGCTCTATCGTTTAATATTTTGACTCTGACTCTTTATTTAAAATGATTTGTTGTTAGTACATTTTACTAATATGATTGAAATTTCGAAACAATGCGTGAGCATGAATCCAGGGATGAATCCAACCCAAATTTATCTAGGGCAGGAAGAGTCTCAGATTGTGTATCGATTACTATCGACAATTTGTAATTTCAGGCCGAGAATTATTCTATTTTCTAATTTCAACAAAGTATTTCATCATCTAATGCTTTGAAATTTTTAATTTTTTGTAAGTAATTGACTTGTGAAGATTTCTAGGGAACCTTTTTTTAAATGGGACTAGGATTGATTTATTTAGGAAGCATAAGAAAGTTACCTTTAAAAATCATGTTTAATTCGAAGGATGTTCTATGTTTAAAAAATTCACCTCAAAAGCTCGAACTTTCAAGAGTATAGTGTGTTTTATTAACTAGAACTCATGTCAAACTTTTTTATTATAAATATATAAAATATATATACACAGATAAATTTGATTATTCACTGCTCCGCAAAATTATCTTGGGAATTTATTCTATGCCTATGTTTGGTTTTGTCCATTTTTAGATTAAATATACAAGTATTTTCTTTAATATCTTGTTGAATATAATGATAAATATTGCATATAACGTAGATAAAGTCCTTCGTGGTGCAGGGTGTTGGAGATCAGTCTAGTTATCCATTAGCATCATGGTTTTAAGCTTCTTCTTAGATTCTTGTGTTTGTTCAATACCCTCCAAGAAAGAATTTATATTTTCAAAAGTTTCTGTAGCCGGCGTTTGAAAATCAATGCTTACTATAAATATAATGTTAAAAATAAATATTAGCCATAAAAAATCATAATTAAGAGTTTGTTTTCTATATGGAATATCGTTTAACAGATAGACCACCAGGTTCGAATTAGCTTTCATTTGTGACACATTCTTTTTAGCCACAAAGGCAACAAAAACCACCTGCTCACATACTAAATAAGTAAAAGTTCTGTTCTTTCAATGGCGATGGTAACACAAAGAAATTCTTTCGTTGTGCCAATTTGTTGAAAACCAACCTTTTTGGTATTCCATTTGTATGCCAGAGACAAACACTTTTTTGAAAACTGAACTGAACTACTTTCATTGCGCGTTTTCGCATCAATAATTTACATAAATATTTTATGTTACAAATTCGTCACCTGCACCTCTCTACCCCGTGCCCTACACTCGCCAACGATAGCCTCCAAGGGCCGATTTCAAATTCAAAGCCACAAAGTGCTGTCAAATGCAGAATTAAGCGCAAAATAAACATTTACCTACTTACGCGAGTAGAGCCGTCAACTTATTGTCATTGTTGTTGTTGCTTTCATTCAATTTCTGCATTATAATTTGCACAACTCTTGGTAGGCGGGGGGAAGGTGCGGGGGCAAGGGCAGGTGAGTCGCTTTTAAATGCGTTTTTAAATGCAACTCCAGCGCTTTGCAGGCCATTAAATAAAAACACAAAAAGAGGCCGCCGCCAACAAATAAATAGTTGAAATTCGCTTGAGTAACAAAAATAAAACAAGACAATACATTTTTTTATATGATCGCTTCGTGTCTTTTTTTCATTTTTGCGTTCACCGCTAAATGTGACAAGAATTTGCAAATGTCAACAAAATTGTGCACCGAATAAAACGAAAACAAAAGAGAGAATTTATGGCAAAAATTGGCAAAGGGTTGCGGCAAGTTCAGGAAATTACAAAGAGCTGGCCAATTGAAATTGGGTTTTTTCTTACCATTTTTATCATTTCTTTCATGTCGAACTCAGTTTTTTTTTTTCTTCTTTTTTGTAACGCTTTTTGCGACAATTTTTGAAAGGTAATTATGTTACGCGCTCCGAAAGTGAATACGTAAGTAAATCGAATTAAAAGGAGTCTGAACAGGAAAAGCATTGCAAAAAGTTGGTTACATAAATAAATATAATTTATGATTTCATATCGGTAATAAAAACAATGTAAATGTATGTCTTCTTATGTCTTCAATATATTCTGAAATATTTGAGTCTCTTCGACCATACTTTGCTTGTAATAGATTCTTTTGCATTATAATATTCTTACTTGTCATTTATCAGAGTTTGAATAGCAATTCGAAAAATACTCCAAATTGGAATATTTTGAGAAATCATACACTTTATACAATTTATGCTTGAAGGTTAATAGCAATCTGTACAATATAAAAGAGCAATTGAAATATTTTGTTTTTCATTTTTTTTGTTATTTTAACTACTTTTAGCTACAAAAATAATTCTGATATTTTTCGAAAAACAAACAAGAATTCATTCAAATTTGCTGGTTCCATGAGTACCGAATTTTTTCGCTCATTTGTGACATACAATATGGATATCTATTATTTTATTTAAATATGAGGACAGCAGCATTTTAGCTTGATTCCATGAAGGGAGATAGAGCGTAGCTATTTTCGATTCAAAACGCACTTTTTAAAGTTAAAAAAAATTCCATCTGTGAGTTTTGGAGTGAAACTTGCGGGCATTTTCCAACACTATAACGCCGTTGCGGCGCTGTAACTTAGAATTGGCAATCAATAGTACCCCTTCTAAGTCACTTTAAATTATTCATTAGATTTGACAAAAGTCGTAATCTCAAATGAAAATTTAAAATAATTTTTTTTCAACGAGATTCAACTCAATATTTCCATTTACTAACAAACGTTTTACCTTGCCTCTTTTCATTTACCTTCAAATTAACTCGACTGTGTGCAGAAGTTGCAGTTGCATTTATGAAGAGCACAGATACATTTGTATCTGGCAAATACATACATGCATGTACATGCACAATTGTTAGGTATTTCCATAGTCTATGGCACAGTTTTCCATTCGTGTTTGCTTTAATTTTATTACAACAGCAGCAGTGCTTTCAAAGCCAGGCCAACTGACACTTGTACAAATCGAATAGACTTTTTGGCATTCGTTGACAGGTGTATTTGTTTTTATAGCTATCAGATACATAGCAATGGGTGCTTGTGAGCTTCGAGTGGCAAACGTCATAAATCTAGATACACCAATGTATACCAATTTGAAGGTGCTGTTGTAAAATGCTTTTATTGCTCTTTAATAGTATGTCCAATGCTTTGGCTTTAGATATTAAAAGGTGTAACTTCAGACAGCTATAGTCGACTATAAAATATAAATAAAGGTCGTTCTCACACACTCTCAACGATTATAAAGTTTTGTGTTTCCTTCATTTATTAATTGATTTCGTTATGCTGTCATCATTTTTTGTATTTTATGATCTTTGATAGCAGGTTATTTATAATTTATAATGTCGATAAGTTCGCCTAGAAAGTCGTAACTTGATGTCATGTTTGGCTTTTTCGCCTGCACCAGTCCCATGTGAGTTTTCATTATGAGTTGATGAACTCATAATGACCCCAGAGAGTCAAATGATGTGTTTTTAGTTTTGGTGGGCACTTTCTAGAGCCAACTAATTAGACCATAAAGCAGCCGACCGAACAACTTGCCGAACTAATTCGCTCAGATAAACCACAACAAAGGTCACGCTTTAATTGATAAGAAAACAATGCGTAGAATCTGTCGAGAAAATCTACACAAAAGGTGAGGCGGCTACTGTTGAAGAAACTCGCAGCAACAACAACAACAACAACTACTTCACTTGACTTGACTCGAACGCAGCCAAATGGAAATGAGGAGTCCATCATACTCTTGAAATACAATGAGAACAGAGTTGAAAATGGTTTCGAAACCTAACTAAACTGAACTTGAAGTGCCGACTGTGCGTCTGATAAAGATCACAGCAGACAGACAAACCCGACAAATGGACAGACAGACAGACAGATAGACAGACAGAAATTCTCTTAGTCGGTGAGTCGGTCGGTTCGGTTAGAGTCACAGGTGTTTGGTAGCACAAAACTCAGAATC